TGCAAAGTACGAAAGGACACACACACACACACACACACAGACATATATATGTGTGTGTATGCGTGTGTATGTGTGTGTAGAAATATACGTATACGTGCATATAAACATATGTTTATATATTTGTGTGCATATATATGCATATGGCTACTATACTATATATATATATATATATATATATATATATATATATATATATATATATATATATATATATATATATATATGTATGTATGTATGCATGTATGTATGTATGTAGGATTAATACAAATATAAAATTTTGTCATTAATTAATGTTATGCTCAGCACCCGACACACACCAAACAGTTTCGGAGGCGAATCTTTTTGTAATCGCTCGATCCACTCGTCAAGGGGAGTCAGCAATTTTCTGTTGATTTTCTCATTTTCTTTATTTGTGTATTAAGTAAAATGATAATTTATGCTCCTTTTATTGACATTAGGTTTATTTTTTCTATTTTACATGTATATGTACGTGCGTGCATGTGTGCGTACATACGCATGTGTATGTGTGTGTGACCTCGTCGGCACGTGAGTGTATTTGCACATATGTAGAATATTGTGGTTATTTCTCCCTCCCTCTCTCTCTCTCTCTCTCTCCCAATATATATATATATATATATATATATATATATATATATATGGGGGTGGTGGAAGCTCAGTCTAGTAATGGATTGTAAAATCCATTCGAGTTCATCACATTCACTTACGTGCTAATACCCTTGGAAAATTTATAGATCTACAGTTTCTTCCCCCTAGCTCTGTGTAAATGCGGACAGTAGGGTCCTATAGTCATAGGTGGCAACCGGTTTATCAGGACAACTCTAAATTCAAAACCTGAAGAGGCTGTGCATCCGTTCTCTGTATTCGGCTCTTCCAAAAAGTGTGATCTGCACATGAATCAAATCGTATGTGGGATATATAAAGAAACTTACTTTATTATACACACACACACACATATATATTTATATATATAAAATTGGAAAAACATGTGTCACAAAAACTTTTTGCCATTTCGTCATACTTTTTCTAAATACTGTTGATATATAAAATTATACAAAATTATATATCATTATATCATATACATATATATATATATATATATATATATATATATATATATATATATAAACATAAAGCCAGTACTTAGAGGCGACTGTCTGTTTCATGCTAGATGCCTGTCAGCCTGACGATTGCATCTAGCATGAAACAGACTGTCGCCTCTAAGTATTGACTTCTATGTTCACTTTTATATTTATATTTACATATGCTCTATCTCTGATATTGAGCACTTTATCCCATAAATATAGCCTTAAGACTATATTCCTTCATATATATATATATATATATATATATATATATACACACACAATATATATATATATACATACACACACACACATATATATATTGTGCGCATATATATATATATATATATATAAACTCTACATATTAGACTAATGGTTGGTTATTGGATGTTATTTATTTAGTAATAAAAATACTTCTGTCTTTCTTTCCTTGTTAATGCACTTACTTAATTACATGGACTGAATAACAAATATTGAACATTTTATATCAAATTCAGCTAAAAACTGTATTCAGGCTATGGATTTATTGATTCACCATTGTATGAGGATGTTTAGGAAATTTTCACACCAAATAAAATAGATAAAAGACATCAAAATAATCCAATATTTTCATCAAGTACCGTCAAATTGAATTTGAAATAAGAATAAAATACACGGTACACAATGTGTCATATTATTATTATTGTGAATTTTCAGATGAATGATTGTCAAGCATTTTAAATTTTTGAATAGTATTTCTTTCTATTGCCTTATTTATACAAATAGTATTAGTAGTTAGTGGGTGCATGGTTAGTATGTTAGCATTCAGACCATGAGACCTAAGTTCAAATCTCACCATGGTCAATTTGTCAGGGAGATGATAATAATATCAACAAAGAGAAATAATCACAGGATATGGCACCCCTGAAATGTGCCTGAAAACTAAACCAAATTTGACACGAAACTCATGAGTGAAATTGGTTAGACAGAACTGTTTGGAAGACATCAATAGTTGTGGTGGCACAAAGTCAAAAGTCAGTGTGACTGAGTGTTTTGACATAGTACCTTTCTTCAAAATGCTGATGATTGCAGGTTATGCAATGTTTTGCAGAAACTGTATCTAAATTCTGTTCAGCATATTTGCAGTATAAATCACAGGTTGACTCTAAGGGGATTGAAGAAACAAAAAAGTGCCTGAGCAGGCATCTACAAGAGGGATTAACTAGCCGCATTTTTAGAGAGAAATACTTGGATATGAATGGCCTGACCCACATAGTAATTGTTGGAGAAGGCAATGAAAACTATTCCTTTATTTTTCCCCAAAATACTTGGCAATTCTTAGATTAAAAAAAAAGGTATCTGTGGAGAGTCATGATCATCTCAAAGCTTAAGCCATGCAAGTCTAATCCTTGGGACCGTAATCCTCCTCAGAGGTGATGGCTTACTGTGGCAATTCCAGAGCTAATACATGTGACACAGGCCACGATTGGTCAGTGCACTGTCATCACCAGCATGTCATCATGTGTGTGGGCACCTGCGTCAACCATTATGGGTCACAGCACTACTTATTAGACTGAGACCAATGTGCATCATTCCGATCCTGAAGGAATATGACATTTAAAGAAATTACTGATATTAGTAAAATTTAATTTTTAGATAAATGATTGTCAACCATTATTAATTAATTAGTATTTCTTTCGTCTTAATTGCGATAGCTTTATTTATTATTTGTTAATTATTCGAAGAACTATTTCGATTTTTTATTAAATGCAGCATTGTTAGTCATTCTTCATTTTTGACTAGTATTATTTTATCTTAGTTTCACTTGCTCTATTTAGACTTATATTTTCTTGAAATTTATTACATGAATTGCTTACATTGTCAAGCATTATTAGTTCTTGATTAGTATTTCTTTCATTTTAATTTCACTTGTTTTATTTACACTAGTATCATTCATTAGTAGTACTACTACATTGAATTTGTTAGCTACTACATGGTCAAACATTGTTCACTTTTAATAGTATTTCTTTCAGTGCAATTTGTTTTATTTATTATCTTAAATTTTACTTGGATCATTGTCAAATATTTTACTACTGTTTGTTTCTTTTGTCTCCATTTCATTTGCTTTATTTACTATGATAAGAGTAGTAGTAGTAATATT